TGATAAAAATACTGACCCAAGTCATTATATTGCTTAGGCCACACTCCCAGGCGACAGACATAAGCCCACACTTGGCATTGGACAGCATTATAGCGCAGGCCTCGGGATCTCTCTGAACATTAAACTCTTGTACGGGTCCTATATTTCCCGTATAGTCAACGGTTCCGCCCATAAACACAATTTCACGCAAATTGTCAAAGAAATGATTGTCCAGTATATAAGCGGTGCCAATGTTGGACAGCGGGCCTAACGTGATAAGTGTGATCTGTTTTGGGTGCTCTCTGGCCAGTCGTACCAATGCATTGGCCGCGTATTCACTCTCTATGTGTACATCAATGGGTGGCATGTCTTTGGTAGAGTCACCCAAACCGTCCGCTCCGTCCCAATCATTTGGTATATAGTGACCCAGTATTGGGCCCTCACAGCCCCTGTAGACCTTTATTTGCTATAATTATTTTAATATGGTTAGTGACATCAATTTAATGATTTACCATTATATAAATTAATATTACATACCTCTAACTCGCCAGCTCTTAAAGCGAGGCAAACATTTTTGCATACATTATCCACGTTTGTCATGCCGTGAGTGCAAGTGATGGCCATTATGTCAATCATATTGTGTTTGTGGCAATACGTGGCCAACATTATGGCCAACGCGTCGTCGACACCGCTATCCGTGTCTATTATTACCAACTTTTTAGACATTGCTTTTGTTGTTCAAAATGATTGAACGACTGTATAATTGAAAATAATTTCTATTTATAGTTTATAACGAGGTGATAGTTATCAAAATGCTGAATAAATATTAATATTATTTTATATTTATTAATTATGATCTAATTGTTGATTGATAATCTAGTTTTTATTGTCAGAACACAGTAATAAAGTTAATAGGCCATTTATCTGTGATTTATAATTATCTATGTTATTTATTTTGCTATCTAAAACTGCTTGACTAAATACATTGGTAAAAATATTAATTTTATTTACAAAATGATAAAAAGCTCAAAGTATGATAATTAGGGTAAATGTTATAATGCACTGAATGAATGTTAAGGTAAATTTATAATAAGTGACAATTAATGTTTTAAAATGAACATAGAACACCAAGATGATTTAACTACATCACGTTAACAACATACATGACATGATACTAACGCAGCAAATTCTTGTCATTAAATCTGATGTCATATTTTTCAAGTATTTTGCATGCATTAGTTAATTGGTCAAGAATGTTAACTAGTGGTATTATCTTAACTGTTTATATAAACTACTGTATTCAATTATTACAGAATATTGCATAATTAACAATGTAGAAAATAGTGAACTAGTAGTACATATTATTATACTAACAAAATTTTTAAACAAAATAATTATTATATAAAATAATACAGTAGACAGTTGAATAATTATAATAATACATAACTTTATTTTTATACTCTATTAAAAAAAATTATTATTTCATAAAATCAATGAAAAGTTGTGATAATTTCTTGTCGTCAAAGTGTTTAATATATTGAACTGATTTCCAGTCATTCTTCAGGACATCGGGTGTTGACCTCTTGTCAAACACGAGTTCTCCTCGAGTTATCCCTCCATTTAATTCAATACTTGTCTTGTATTCAGCTTTAGATTCAATATAGTCTTCATAAATGGGTGCCATTATTGCCAGAATGTCATACATTGTTATGCCTTTAGATCCCGGCTCTAAACATTATAATGACATAGATTTAAACAAAATTAACAACACTATAATAAATTGTTTGTAAACATTGACAATACGTACGCTCTTTGAGTCGCTTTACCTCCATATCTGTTACCAGTTTCATAAACTTTGATTTCTTTGAATCCAATTTCACTATTTGGTCGTAAAGATCCTGCAATTGTAATAATGTGTAAATAGTTTTAATATCATATCATATACTGTAAAGTATATATAAAATAAACATTACCCAGGTAAGTACATGTCTATCACAACACTCAATGGGCACTATAGTGATGGGACATTTGGCACTGGATAGCACTCTACTCACAGCTTCCACATCGGACAAAACATTAAACTCTTTTCCCGGACCCATATTACCCCCGAAGTCAATACTACCGCCCATATAAACAATTTCCTTTAGATTGTCAAAGAATTTGTTGTCCAACATATATGCGAGCGCTATATTAGTTAAGGGTCCCAAAGCGATCAAGGTGATTTGCTTCGGGTGCTCTCTGGCCAGTCGTACCAACGCATTGACCGCGTGTTCACTCTCTATGTGTACATCAATGGGAGGCATATCTAGTGTAGAGTTTCCCAAACCATCGATTCCGTAGTAATCGTCGGAAACATATTTGCCAACAATTGGTCCGTCAGAACCCCTGTATATCTTTATTCCCTATTTATTTGTAATTAATAATAATTTTTTTAATAATTTAATTAATAAATAATATTATTTTCATTTAAATAACACTTACTTCTAATTCACTGGCATTGAGAGTATAGCCGACATTTTTGACCACATTATCGACATATGTATTACCGAATTGACAAGTGATGGCCGCAATGTCTATCATATTTTGTTTGTGGCAATACGTGGCCAACATTATGGCTAACGCGTCGTCAACACCGCTATCCGTGTCTATTATTACCATTGGTTTTGATGCCTTACATATGGTCAGTGCTATCTGTGCCCACAAAAGCACTGTATATAACAGAACTTGCATAATTCTTATTATTTAATATTAAGCAACAATTATACTACTCAATTTACTAAATGCGAGCTTCACAAATTCAAAACCTTTATATATAGTGGTGAAAAGTATTATTTTATCAGCTTACCAAACAATGCAAATTTTATTCTCATGATTTTATAATACTTTCTGTGGGGTTAACTATATCTCTGCACACCTGTTACTATCCCAGAATATATACAGTTATAGTTATTTAGTATGCAGTAATTTGAGACAATTAATTATGTTCCGACTCGTGAGTGTAAACTGGGTAAATTAGCAATAATTAGGAGCATTATTTGTAAGGTTGTTTAATTATATAATTATTCCTGGTAAGTGATAATTTGTACTTTATTATGATAATTCTTTATCGTAATTTGTACTTTATTGCACTCTTAGTCGCTAGATATACAAATATTTTTAATTGTATATTGTCATTTTGTCACACTTTAATAAACTTTTATTATAATTAATTTTATTTTATATTAAATTAAATTATTTTTAATTAAACTATTTTTTAATTAAATTTATTTCATAAAATCAATCATTAATTGCGATAACTTTGTGTCGTTAAAGTGTTTGATAATTTGAACTGATTTCCAGTCATTCTTCAGGACATCGGGTGTCGACCTCTTGTCGAACACGAGTTCTCCTCGAGTTAGCCCTCCATTCAATTCAACGCTTGTCTTGTATTCAACTTTGGATTCAATATAATCTTCATATATGGGCGCAATTACTGCTAGAATGTCAAACATTACTATACCCTTAGATCCGGGCTCTAGACATCATAATGAAACTATTCGTTAATAATTATAAATTAAATATAATGTCATTAATCAATGCATACGCTCTTCCATGCGTTTAACCTCCATATCCGTTATCTGTTTCATAAATTTTGATTTCTTTGAACCCAATTTCACTATTTGGTCGTAAATGGACTGAAATTTTAATTATTTGTAAATAATCCTATTTTAAAAATTAAAAATATTTTAAAGTTACCCAGGTAAGAACGTGTTTCTTGCAACATTCATTAGGGACAACAGTGATGGCACAGTTGGCACTCAATAACACTCTACTTATGGCTTCGACGTCAGAATTTATGTTAAAACTTTTCACAGGATCTGAATTGCCGTCGAAGTCAAGAGTTCCGCCCATAAAAACAATTTCCTTTAGATTGTCAAAGAATTTGTTGTCCAACATATATGCGAGCGCTATATTAGTTAAGGGCCCCAAAGCGATCAAGGTGATTTGCTTCGGGTGCTCTCTGGCCAGTCGTACCAACGCATTGACCGCGTGTACACTCTCTACGTGTACATCAATGGGAGGCATATCTAGTGTAGAGTTTCCCAAACCATCGATTCCGTAGTAATCGTCGGAAACATATTTGCCAACAATAGGTCCATCAGAACCCCTGTATATCTTTATTCCCTATTTATTTGTAATTATTAATAATTTTTTAAATAAGTCAATTAACAAATTTTATTTTCATTTAAATAACACTTACTTCTAATTCACTTGCATTGAGAGTATAGCCGACATTTTTAATCACATTATCGACATATGTATTACCGAATTGACAAGTGATGGCCATTATGTCAATCATATTGTGTTTGTGGCAATACGTGGCCAACATTATGGCCAAAGCGTCGTCAACACCGCTATCCGTGTCTATTATTACCAACGGTTTTAATGCATTGGATTGGGTCAGTGGTAAAAGTGCAAATACAAGCACTGTAAAGTTACATAATACAACTTTCATGTTTTGCCAAATATTTATTGAAGTTTAAAAAAATCAGCAAGTGACTTTCGAGCAAGTATCTGCGTCTCAGTTTATATAACTGTGAAAAATATTACTAACAATAAATTGATAATAATTTTGCATTAATTTCTATGAACTCATATTGATTATTTTTTCACACACCTGTCAATATGATTATCGAGCCGGATAATATTGTAATTGCCCTTGGTCGGTGAATGATGCATTACTTTATTACCATAAACATTGTTTCCCAGTAGAGTATTATCTTAATTCTCACATAACGTTTAAAATTCGTTATATTTTAACGACTTTTCTAACACTCACTTAAGTTGTTATAATTGGTGCCATAATTAGTAAAAAATTAAAATATGACATTTATGTATTTTTAATCAAATATTAATTTTATTTAATATTTAGTTTATTTCATAAAATCAATGTAAAGTTGTGACAACTTTTTTTCGTTAAAGTGTTTGATATATTGAACTGATTTCCAGTCATTCTTCAGGACATCGGGTGTCGACCTCTTTTTGAATACAAGTTTTCCTCGAGTTATCCGTCCTTTCAATTCAACGCTCGTCTTGTATTCGACTTTGGATTCAATATAGTCTTCATATATCGCAGCAATTATTGCCAAAATGTCAAACATTACTATACCCTTAGTTCCCGGCTCTAAACATAACAATAATAACTTTATTATTATAATTTTTAATTGATATAAAAATATGAATTTATAAAACAATAAATTGACATTTAATACACACTTTCTTTAGTATCCTTAATTTCCATATCTGTTATTTGTTTCATAAACATTGATTTCTTTGAACCCAATTTCACTATTTGATCGTAAATATCCTAAAATAAGTTAGCAACATTTATAATAAGCGTTTTTTACATAAATAAAATAATATTTCATGTATGTTAAGTTACCCAGGTAAGAATATTACTCTTACAACATTCATTGGGCACAACAGTGACGGCACAGTTAGCGTTGGACAGCACTATACTACAGGCCTCGACATCAGAAATTATATTAAAACTGGTCACCGGATATGTATTGCCATCAAAGTTAAGACTACCACTCATTAAAACAATTTTCTTTAAATTGTCAAAGAATTTGTTGTTCAAAATATAAGCCGATGCTATATTAGTGAGTGGTCCCAAAGCGATCAAGGTGATTTGCTTCGGGTGCTCTCTGGCCAGTCGTACCAATGCATTGGCCGCCGGCTCCCGCTCTATGGCAACATCAATGGGAGGCATGTCTTTAGTAGAGTCGCCCAAACCATCGGTTCCGTAGTATTCCTCTAAAACATATTTCCCATTGAGAGGTCCGTCACAACCCCTGTATATTTTGATTCCCTATTCATTTATAAATAAGTTTAACTAAAATATGATTTTTATTCAATTGACACATACTTTTATATCAGAGGCATTGAGCGTATAGCCGACATTTTTGACCACATTATCGACATATGTATTACCGAATTGACAAGTGATGGCCATTATGTCAATGAGATTCTGTTTGTGGCAATACGTGGCCAACATTATGGCCATCGCGTCGTCGACACCGCAATCCGTGTCTATTATTAATAACTTTTTTGACGACATTTATATTTCTTAAAATTAAATATAAATATAACAAATTATAAGAATTACACTTTTATAACAAATTAAGAATATTTTATTTAACTATAGATCTATTGTTTTGATGATTATTCGATACTTCTACTAAATTATTAGTTTACCATAATATTAAAATTACTGCGTTACAACAAATACACGTGATCATTTACGCCCACATGCACTGTTCAACAGCGCAGCCCCAAAATAATTACTTAATAATTACTTTAATTTAAGTAATCATTAAATACTGTATGTTATCAATGCCTTCGTTGACAGTCAGCACATGTTTAAGCAAAATAATCACTATTTTGATAACATTTTGTTTTTTAACTATTTATAAAACATGTTAAATATCATAGAACATAATAACAGCTACACAGGAAAGTTGATCGGAAACAACCAGGGTTAGTTAAATGTCAATTATTTTATCACTACTCTTGTAATGTTATTATGTGTATTGTGACAGTAATTATGTCTAAAATCAAATAAGATCTAAAACTAAACAAACATGTAAAATTATATACAAGAGATTTATTATTGCTAATTATTATTATTATTATTAATAATATTATTATTGCTATTATTATTATTGTATAAATCATTGCTATTTAATTTAAAAATAAATTAATTGTACATTTATTTAATAACAACACATTTTATAACTATTGATAAGATCTCAACATTTGTAAAATAAAATAATTTTCAAATATGTTTTCATATTTGGCAAAAACAAAGTCCAAATGATCCCATTGTGGCCATCGTATGGTCTTAAAGGCACGCAATTCTAGCCATATTTACAAAACAAAATTACATTTATAAAAACAATTATATATTTATAACATAATAACAATACTGTATAATAATTATAAAAACAATCTTAACTGTGGATTTTGTTGGCCAAACGCTGGACATCCAACACATCGGCCAACAAATCATTCAAACCGTGAACTAAAACAATGTCTTGAGATGTGATGTTGCCGAGCGGGTACTCGGGTGCCGACAACTGGCCATATTTGGCCACATTTCCGTCGGTGCCGTAATTAAATTGCGAAAATTTGTCATTGAGTATGAGTTGTGCGAAATGCAAGTAAATCCGGGACGAGGTGTCGTCAAAAGCATTGCCAAAAATAGCTGGTAATCTGCTCTAAAAACAATCATGGTAATTTACAAAAACTATGTATACTTCAATTTCTAACTAGATTATTTACGTGATCAGTGTTAAATGGGTCCTGACCATAAAGTAAGGCGTTATACTCGACGCACAGATACCTTAATATAATATTACCGCAAATAAATTGCCCGATAAACTGGGCCACCGGTCGGGGCAGACCCAGCCCTACGGTCACCGGCCTATAACCGTGTATAAAACAGTGATAAATATAGCCATTAATTCATCGATGTATTACCTGACGAGTGGCTCAATGGGCGCCAGGGCTTTAAATAGGCTTAATGTGTTGCCCAGGTATGCGATCGGCGCCAGCGCTATGAATGGGCGGAAAAATTGCTCAAACTCTGGTTGCAATGAAAGCAATATAAACAGTTGTGTCGTTCCCAGTGAATGGCCGATGTAGGACAGGTAGGCTTATGGCGGAGATTATATATATGGTTAAGCAATAGCAACCACTTATAATGGTATCACATAATCAAAAACAATTTATACGC